ACTTTTCATCTAAACAATTGTTAACTTTTAAACAATTAAGAAAATTCTCATTGACTAGCTTTCATTTAATTTTTATTTATAATCTCACATTGAAAAAATAAGAAAAAACTGAATTGTTACACCTTACATAAAGTGAATCTTACACTCTCATTTATATAAGCAAAATGAAATTTTTAGTGAGAAACCTTATGATCAATATCTCATGCTAATTTTTTTGATTTTCTAAATTTAAACAATTAAGAAAATTCTGATTTGCTAGCTTCCATTTAAATTTTATTTTACATAATATAAAAAATTAAATATAATTATTATATTTTTATTAAATAAATATTATTTTATCCCGTACATAAACGGGCAAGATGCTAGTTTAAGTGAACTTAGGATAGCAAATACATTTCACTAACGTAATACACTGATTTACTAGAATTCTAAAGAGAGCAACATCATCTATACAGCCACTCTTTTTTTTTTTCTTAGTAGACAACAGTTTGGACCTGGAATGTCAGATGAATAAGAGTAGACTCTGAAGACACACACTTTTAAATACATTGCGAAACATGATTGGTTGCCCAGAAAATGAAAAGTACGTTAATATTTGAGCAGCTAATCATGTTTGGCCATGAGTGCATAAGAGTTTTTGTTAACCGTGTTGTGTCTCAAGACAATATTCATTTCAGATTGGTTATTCATTCACGGGATATTGAGAAGGATGTTGCCTGACCAATAGAATAGAAACATGTTTTGGGAGTTTTAACAGCATAGAATCCTTTTTTTTATCAGCAAAGAAAATTTTCATTAACAGCATGAAATTAAAGGTACAGGAAGATGACATGCATCGAGAGAGATTCGGAAGTACAAAAATACCCCTACTACTATACTTCGCATCCATACAACCAACCCTTGGCCTCTCGAATTTTAAATAAAAAGTTAAGAAGGATTTAACTAGAAAATAAAATACATGAAACCCCACAAAATCAACCCACCAAACCCCCAAACAGCTCCTGCAAATCCTCTAATCAACCCAAAATCAACCAATATTTTAATCACCTAAACTGCAAGCCTCATGATTTTAAATCATACAATATCAACAATCCAATATTTTAATCACCATGCTCTGCTAATCGCTGCAACTCCCGAACGCCTATGCTATTGCTACAGCTCTGAAAATTTTAATCACTATGCTCTGCTATTTTAACTCCCACTTGCTATTCATAAAACTAAATCTTTACGCCCAGTAGCTAATTTTTGAATCTAAACTTCTCACCTGCTTCAACTCCCAACGCCCACCTGACAACTTCCAACGCCCAACGCCCACCTGCTCCTACTGCAACATCTTTTCACTATCTGCTGCATCGCTCCTCTGGCCGAAAGACTCCATAGCCAATCTCCATGGCTGGAAAACCTACTACACCCACTGAACACAGCTTGATCACCATAGCTACCCCCACTGAAAACCTGCTACACCACTCCATAGCCACTACTACTGCTAAAGCTTTTCAAAACTCCTGCTGCTACACGCTCCTACCAGCTTGATCACCATAGCTACAGCTTGATTACCTACCTGCTGCACACTTCTCTGCTCCTACCGAGGAGTTTCTCTGGCCGGAAAACTTCATAGCCACCATCTGACACAGCCAAAACCCACTTCCACGGTCTGAACTTCTATACTGATTCAAAACTCCGAGCACTTCGAATACACCCAAGGCCGATCAACACTCATGACAACAAGACCCACTGCCATCTCCACTTCCATGATCGGGCACAGCTTTCCGGCTCCAAACTCCAAACACGCCCAATGCAATAGCCTCAGTGTTGACAACCCAAAACATCGAACAACCGCTGAGACAAAACCATACATCTGGATGAAGCTCACCCCTCAAACTCCCACTCGAAAAGGAGAGCTCGAATGAAATCTTAGACAGATATAGATCAACTACAACACCTTGTTCCCTCAAACAAAGCACCGAAGCAACTCAATAGATCCGAAACCAAGCTCATCCCTCAAACTCCCGCTCAACAAAGAGTGCCCGATGAAGATCCATCCAGATCTGGCCAACCTCTATACCGGTCCAAACCCGACCTCCTTCTTACTCTGTTTTGTCCCTAAAACCCCAAGGTGGACACAGAAACAGACAACAAAAAAAACAAGCCGAAGCCCTCCTGAAGACACAAAAAAGGACACCAAAGTGGAAGAAATTGTGGGAATCAAGTTTATTGAAAGCAGAAACCAGTACACAAACACGAAAGAGAGCTGGGCAACCGACCGCCATAGCCAAAGGCGGCGGTCGCCGGCCAAAAGTGAGGCCCGGGGGTGGAGGTTTAGAGAGAGTTGAATTGAACGGAAACTCTATACCCTATAGGGAACTATAAGGCTAGTGAAGGGGCTAAATGTGAAATGGGTCGGGTCCAAGCTTTGAGCCGGCCCAATCTACTGAAGTCTGAATCCAACACTACTAGAAAAAGGGGCATTTGACATGGAACAATTTGCGACGGTTTAAGTGTTGTCGCAAAAGCTTGCTTTTTGCGACGGTTTAATTGCCGTCATGGAATTTATAGTTTTTGTGAAGGAAAAAGTTAACCCGTGGCAAAAAGTAAGGTTATATGTGACGGTAAGTTAAACGTGGCAAATTTTCTGGTTTTAATTTTTTTTTTCCTTTTTTGCGATGTTCTTTTGGTAATCCGTCGCAAAATTTTACTTTTTTCTTTTCATTTGCACGGGCCTTAATATCGTCGCAAATAGTAATTCCTAAATTCGCGCCAAAACCCCCCTCCCACTCTTCCTCTTTCCCGATATTCCCAAATTCTCTGTTATCTCTTGAGATCGAAAAAAAAAAAGAAGCCCTAATCTCACTGCTCTCTCGCTCCTCCCTCTCACCCAGTCTCCATTCTATCTCTCTTGCAGCGGCAACAACAACATCTAGGTAACCCTCTTCTTTCCTCTCGCTCTTGCTCGCGCAGACCTTCCCTCTCACACAGTCGTCACTCTGTCTCTCGCTCTTGCTCGCGCAACGGCAACAACAGCGTCTGTAGCAGCAGCAACAACAGCGTCACTCTAGTTCACCTCCGGCATCCAGGTATAGCCTTCATTTGCTTTCCTCTGCTCTCCTCTGGTCTTCTACCATCTGTTTCTCCTTCTCATCAGTTCATTGAAACTCTTTTGATTAAGAATAAAATAGTTCATCGCAATAAAAATCAAGAATTTCATCATTGATTTCGTGTTGGTGTGTGTTTGATTTGTGCGAAAATTGGATGTGTGTATATATATATATATATTATATGTATGATTCTAGATCAAACTCACAACTCAAACACATGGTTAACCCCAATTTGTGTAGAATAGTGGGGTAGTTTCATTCGGGTGCATGCCAATTCTCCGGAACAAAAAGACTGATTGCGGTAATTCAATGACGAGTGCACAAATTAATTCAAAAACTGTGACAGTTGCTTCTAATTTGATAAACTAAACTAAAACTAAAATTAAAATTAAATTAAAAAAAATTAAAGTGTTATTCAAGGTTGAAAGGAATCTATGGCTTTAAACCTTCCCTAATTTTGATATAGTCTAATTTGAAAACTAAACTAAAACTAAAATTAAAATTAAATTAAAAAAAATTAAAGTGTTATTCAAGGGTTGAAAGGAATCTATGGCTTTAAACCTTCCTAATTTTGTATAACCTATATCAGCTTTGAGAATCAATTAATTAATAGAGTGCCGCTATGTAGCTCGAAATGTGATGGCTCGAATTTGGTTTTGTACTCAACTTGCTGCTACTGTGCAACACTTTTCCTTTCAAAAACAAATTTCACTGTTTAGTTTAAAATTAGCTCTGAATTCATTAGTTCAACAATTTAAATGTTAATAAGATGTGCATACTGTAATATTGTCTATAAATATATATATATTCATGTAATTTTTGTTGGTGGTGGTGGCCTTTTCAGATTTCTATTGAACCAATTCAAGGGAAGAGGGTTGAACATAATGGGATTAAAATTGAACTCCTTGGTCAGATAGGTGAGTTTACTCAAAGTTTCTAATATGATATATTCCTTGAAAAGTAGAGACACGGGACATTAAGCATATACAATGACGAGGGTTCCTTTTCCTTTGTCAGCCCAAACTTTTCCCGTCAAGCGGACACTCATTTAATGAAGTTCTTAATCTGATCAAAAGGATAGAATAGACACTCCCGTGCAATTTGAGATAAAGTTATAATTGTCATTCTTAGAATCTTAGGTGATTCTTTTTGTATTATTTTGTTTATTGGTATCTTTTGTCTTGTAATATCTACTTTTCTTATATTTACCTAATGAGGTTTGTTTTTTCAGTATGTATTGTCTTTCTAATTAACTAATCAGTAAAAGAATAGAGACACCTCTGTGTATCTCTCATGCAACTTAACAATACAGTGTTTCCCAACACTTTTATTTTTTAATTTTTTTATTAATTATTTTATTTTATTTTTTGGTTGGACGTAGACATGTATATCTTGTAATCTCTGGAGAGAAGAGCTTACTCCTCTAATTAGTTTCTTCCTCTTCTTTTTGGACTAATCCATTCCCGTTGAAACACCTTTGCTTCGTTGCTAATGATTAAAAGTAGATGTGAGATTTCATTTTTTATTGCAGTTACATTTTTTGTGGGTTTTTGCAAAAATGTATTTTGACAGAGGCAACTTCTATGACTTTACCTCCCTTGGTGAGTGTACTAGTAATTAGATCCCATTAACTTAGACTTTACCAACTCTTTATTATTCTACTTCCAATTATTTTGTAAAACATCTGTTTCTTTGGCTTTCAATCTAAAAATCTCAACATTCGTTGTCCTTGTCAATATGTCCATCATTGTTACATAGTTTATTTAGTTTTCAACATATTTTCCCACAACTATTAGCAACATGGATTTTTCTCCTCCCCTAATTCTTTTTTATTTTTTTATCTTTTATAGTTCGTGAACTGGATGTTCCTGGTGAATTATTTGAAAGGAGACATATCCCTTCGAATTTCTACGATTGAAATGCCTTATGAAACACAATGGGGTGAATGTGCGGCTCAGGTAAGTTAAGCACTAGTCATGAAATTGTCTAAGTTTTGTATATATGTTGTATCTTTTGTCTTCTTTTGGACAATTCGTAGTTAACTGTATGAATATCAACTTGTTCTTGTAAAAATCTATTGTGGTTTTATGAATCTAACAAATTCCTAAGAACTTTTCTGACCAAAAATAAAATTAAAAAAAAAATTCTAAGAACCTCTGGCAGATTTTTTAAGGTCATCATGTTCCTATTTTGCACACCCATATTTACCTATCATATCTACCTACCTTGGTTTGCTACATTGCTTTGATTTTTCTGTACGTACTGGTTAAGGCTTTGATTAAGACTGTAACAACCCGCATTTATGTCTTAGTCATGTTCATGAGCATTTGCATGATTATGACTCGTTGAGCTTGCATTTGTATGTTTATGACTTGTTTTACCTAAGTAAGGTCCATGCCTTGTTCTGTGTTTATGTGATTTGCCTAAGTGTTGTGTGCATGCTTTGTTCCTTCCTTGGTGTCTCAAGCCTAAGTTATATTAAGCCTAGGTCATGCCAAGCCTAGGTTATGTTAAGCCTAGATCATTCCAAGCCGAGGTCATCTTCAGTCTAGAATCATCTTGGAACCACTTGTTTTGACTCCGCCTTCGCCCTGACATATTGGCCAAGATGTCATTATCTAGGCCAAGGTGTTCATCACCAAGGCCGAGATGTTAACTTTGCACCTGGGTGATCTTGTCCTGGAGTGGTATGACCTAGACCGAGGTGTGGCACATCTAGGCCAAGGTGTGGCACAGCTTAGTCAAGTGTTGTCCTTCCTAGCCGAGGTCATTGTCACCTTAGTTGCCGAAGCTTTGTCCTTAGCCGATGTCATCACTTGCCGGAGTGCCTTACCGGGTAGCTTGTTAGATACACTTTGTCATAGTCTTGTCTTGTCAATCTATCACTTTTTGAGAGAGCCAACCACCATTGCCACGTGTTTGAGCTGAGTGTTAAGTCAGCCGATAGAGAGAGAAAACCTATCATTTCTATATCTTTGTTTTGAAGAGGAGAGAGAACTCTAGAAGAGGGAGAAGAGTTCTTGAGGGAGAGTAGATTTCCAAGCTTGATCCCTAGAGATCGACCGTTAGATCCGTGTCCTAAGGTTAGATTCTTGATCTGCTCTTGTCGTTCTTCATGTTCATGTTATTGCATTGCATGATTAAATATGATTTGTAAGCCATGCATTGCTTTGAAGTTCGATTTAGAAAGAGAAAATAGCATTCATGTGTTCTTAAGAAAAAGTCATGTTTTGATCCGAAAGCTCATGCCAAGATCCATGTTTTTGTGTTTGTTTTCATATGATTTTCAAGTATGGGTACCCAGGTCCATGTTTTTGAACTCATAGCATGAAATCCCAGATTTTGTAATAGAGAAGTTATGATTTTAGCATTCATATTCTTCATGTTCTTCATATTCTTCATGTTCATGTTCTTCCTGTTCTTCACGGGTGGAACCCCGATCTCCAGACCTCACTTCCGTAAGTGTAGTCGCCGAGATCACTGTTACCTTAGACTCATTGGCTCACCCTACTTGGGAAACCATTTTTAGGTACAGGTGACCCTAGATCACACACTTAGGCCAAGCATCGTATCTCACCTTGGCCTACCTTGCATGATCACTTACACCTTTACTTTGTCTTGTGCGCACCTCGGCATGCAGCCGCATGCCGAAGCCTAGGTAGCCACACCTCAGCCAGGAGGTGTGGGACCTCGGCAAAGACCTGGTTGGTACCCAGCATGTCTTCTTGACATGTAAAACAGTGTTTTGACTTCCAGCATGTTTTCCTGAGATCATTTGCATGTATGTAAGACTTGTTTTGAGAAGTACGTTCAGTATGCTTTGCCATGTGTTTGTAGGACTTGGACCTTTGCCTTGACCCCGACATCCCAAGAACTATGTGAGTGGTATTCTTAATAAAGCTATGTTACACGTTTTGATAAAGGCTTTGCTTTTCTTTGTTTTGAAAAGTATTTGTTAAGCATGAATGATATCTTTATTTTATGTATCAAGTATAAACTTTGTTTTGGATGACATTCTTGGAACCGTCCTTTCGTGTTAGGGGACGTTAAGCCTAAGTAACACCGTCCTTTCGTGTTAGGGAACGTTAAGCCTAGGTAACATACTCTGTACGTGCCAGGGGACTATAAGCTTTTGGGGCACAAGTCCGTACGTGCTAGGGGACTATAAGCACTTGTAGCACATTCTTGGAAGTCCGTACGTGCTAGGGGACTATAAGCACTTGTAGCACATTCTTGGAAGTCCTTCCGTGCTAGGGGACTTTAAGCCTAGGTAGCACCGTCTTTTCGTGCTAGGGGACGTTAAGCCTAAGTAGCACCCTTGTTAGATATCGGCCACCTACGGACTATGAACGGGTGTGCTCGATGCCGAGGTTATGCTTTTGTTTTGCCCGGAATGTCATCACCCCATGTTTTGAGATTGACGTATGTTAAGTAAGTAAGTAAGTTTTGAAAGACCATGGTTCGATTGATGTTTTGTTTCAAGTCGAGCTAAGCTATGTTATGTATGGTTTTGACAAGGATATACTATGTATTGTTTTGAAAAGATCTCGGGTATCATTCATTTAACCCCTTTATTACTTGTATCATTCACTGAGTATCCAAGCTCACCCTCCCTATGTATATATGTAGGTAACAAGCAAGAAGTCGGCTACGCCGAGATGTGTGTTTTGTATGCATGTTGTGTCGGCAGTGAGGATGTCGGCAATCCTAAAGATTATGCTTTTAGTTGTATTTCATGTTTTTTGTTTATGTCGGCTTGTGAAGCCCTTTTGTTAAGATGTAACATGTATTTTTGTACTTCATCTTATTTGTATTCAAGTTTTAAAGCTATGTAAAAATGTATGCCATTTCATTTGACTTATGCAGAGCTCTTATGGACCACTTGTATTTTAGATTATTGCTTCCGCACTTGTGAGCCCCATATATTTATACTCTGATTGTGTGTGAATTTTGAAAGTTGGCCTTCAGTAATCTCAGATTACTGGCCATCACGGCACCAAACTACTTGGGGCAGTTTGGGGTCGTGACAGAATGGTATCAGAGCACAAGTTCCTTAGTATACATTATTCACACACTTGAGTCCTCAAGAGCATAGGATGTCCCTTAGAATGATCTTAGGATTGCATCATATTGCTTGCTACTTAACAAGGTGTGCATCATCTCAGCATGAGCATTTTGTTACATTGGCATGATCATGCTCACTTGCATACATGTTCATTTGTTCATTTTGTTCTAAGAGTCACATCCTGCATACTCCTAGCACCATGAGAAGAGGTAGATCCCCAGTTGGCCGAGATTAGTCCGAAGACAGGTTGGACAGATTAGAAAGGATAGTTGAAAGTTTGGCCGATGAGTTAAGGCAAGCAAGGCAGCAGAACACCGGTACCACCTCCGCCCAAGCTGAGCAAACAGATGACCGACATGCAGTTCCGCCTCCTCTAGTACCACAAGTGCAGCCGCAGCCAACTTTGTATGGAGACGACACATTGACCCTAATCAGAGAATTCAAGAAGATGAAGCCACCGAAGTTCCATGGAGGTATAGAGCCGATGAAAGCAGAAGCATGGGTTCTTGAAATAGAGAAGTTGTTCGAGGTTTTTCCTAGCACCGACGCCCAAAAGATGTCACTGGCAGCATTTACATTGGAAGACGACGCCCGTAGATGGTGGATGATGATCCGAGAAGGTAATCTAGACTTGACTTGGGCCAGATTTTTGGAGCTGTTCTATGACAAGCAGTTCCCCCTCAGTGTCTGAGATCACAAGACTACAGAATTTCAAATATTGGCACAGGGTAACAAAACAGTGGCAGAGTATGATCGTGCTTTCACCGAGTTGGCAAGGTATGCACCTCACATGGTTGACAACGAATACAGAAAAGCTAGGAAGTTTGAGAGTGGACTCCGAGGGCCGATACAAGATCAAATTAATTTGCTCAACATGCCAACGTATGCTGGAGTATTAGATAAAGCCATCCTTGCAGAAACCAACCTGAACAGAAGTCAAAGTTTGGGGAAGAATCAAAAGAAGAGGTAGACCTATGACAATCGCGAAGAAGAGGCAGACCCGACTGATGCCGAGAAGGAGACAAAGGTGGACAGTTCCAACAGCGCAAATCAGGAAGGTGGTACTTGGCCGACATGTGCAAGTTGCGGGAAGCGACATTTTGGAGTTTGTCATTGGACAACTGGAGCATGTTTCGGATGCGGTGAGAGAGGTCATCGTACTAAGGATTGCCCCAAGGTAAAAGCTAAGGATGATAAGAAGAGATGAGAACTTGACATCGGGAGTCATTTTGGGAACAAGGTGAGTGAAGTTTGGGGACCAAACTTCTTTAAGGAGGGAAGGATGTAACAACCCGCATTTATGTCTTAGTCATGTTCATGAGCATTTTCATGATTATGACTCGTTAAGCTTGCATTTGTACGTTTATGACTTGTTTTACCTAAGTAAGGTCCATGCCTTGTTCTGTGTTTATGTGATTTGCCTAAGTGTTGTGTGCATGCTTTGTTCCTTCCTTGGTGTCTCAAGCCTAAGTTATATTAAGCCTAGGTCATGCCAAGCCTAGGTTATGTTAAGCCTAGATCATTCCAAGCCGAGGTCACCTTCAACATAGAAATTGCCTTGGAACCCCTTTGTTTGGCCTCTACCTTTGCCTTGACATATTGGCTGAGATGTCATTATCTAGGCCGAGGTGTGGATCACCAAGGCCGAGATGTGTATTATCTAGGCCGAGATGTTACCTTTGCACCTAAGCGATCTTGTCCTGGAGTGGTATGACCTAGACCGAGGTGTGGCACATCTAGGCCAAGGTGTGGCACAGCTTAGTCAAGTGTTGTCCTTCCTAGCCGAGGTCATTTGTCACCTTAGTTGCCGCAAGCTTTGTCCTTAGCCGATGTCATCACTTGCGAGTGCCTTACTGAGTAGCTTGGTTAGATCACTTTGTCAGTAGTCTTATCTTCGTCAATCTATACCTTTTTAGGAGAGCAACCAGCCGTTGCCACGTGTTCGAGCTGGTGTTAAGTCAGCGTAGAGAGAGGAAAACTATCATTTCCTATTCTTTGTTTTGAAGAGGAGAGAGAAGCCTCTAGAAGAGGGAGAAGGTTCTTGAGGGAGAGTAGATTTTCCAAAGCTTGATCCCTAGAAGATTCGAACCGTTAGATCCGTGTTCTAAGTTTAGATTTCTTGATCCTGCTCTTGTCTTTTTTATTTCGATGTTCATGTTATTGCATTGCATGATTGAATATGATTTGTAAGCCATGCATTGCTTTGAAGTTCGGTTTTAGAAAGAGAAAATAGCATTCATGTGTTCTTAAAGAAACAGTCATGTTTTGATCCGAAAGCTCATGCCATGATCCATGTTTTTGTGTTTATTTTCATATGATTTTCAAGTATGGGTACCCAGGTCCATGTTTTCGAACTCATAGCATGAAATCCCAGATTTTGTAATAGAGAAGTTATGATTTTAGCATTCATATTCTTCATGTTCATGTTCTTCCTGTTCTTCACGGATGGAACCCCGATCTCCAGACCTTACTTCCCTAAGTGTAGTCGTCGAGATCACTCTTACCTAGACCTCACACTTATGCCAAGCATTGTATCTCACCTTGGCCTACCTTGCATGATCACTTACATCTTTAGTTTGTCATGTGCGCACCTCGGCATGCAGCCGCATGCCGAAGCCTAGGTAGCCACACCTCGGCCAGGAGGTGTGGGACCTCGGCAAAGACATGGTTGGTACCCAGCATGCCTTCTTGACATGTAAAATAGTGTTTTGACTTCCAGCATGTTTTCTCGAGATCATTTGCATGTATGTAAGACTTGTTTTGAGAAGTACGTTCAGTATGATTTGCCATGTGTTTGTAGGACTTGGACCTTTGCCTTGACCCCGACGTCCCAAGAACTATGTGAGTGGTATTCTTAATAAAGCAATGTTACACGTTTTGATAAAGGCTTTACTTTTCTTTGTTTTGAAAAGTATTTGTTAAGCATGAATGATATCCCTATTTTATGTATCAAGTATAAGCTTTGTTTTGGATGACATTCTTGGAACCGTCCTTTCGTGTTAGGGGACGTTAAGCCTAAGTAACACCGTCCTTTCGTGTTAGGCGACGTTAAGCCTAGGTAACATAGTCCGTACGTGCGAGGGGACTATAAGCTTTTGTGGCACAAGTCCGTACGTGCTAGGGGACTATAAGCACTTGTAGCACATTCTTGGAAGTCCTTCCGTGCTAGGGGACTTTAAGCCTAGGTAGCACCGTCTTTTCGTGCTAAGGGACGTTAAGCCTAAGTAGCACCCTTGTTAGATATCGGCCACCTACGGACTATGAACGGTTGTGCTTGATGCTGAGGTTATGCTTTTGTTTTGCCCGGAATGTCATCACCCCATGTTTTGAGATTGACGTATGTTAAGTAAGTAAGTAAGTTTTGAAAGACCATGGTTCGATTGATGTTTTGTTTCAAGTCAAGCTAAGCTATGTTATGTATGGTTTTGACAAGGATATACTATGTATGGTTTTGAAAAGATCTCGGGTATCATTCATTTAACCCCTTTATTACTTGTACCATTCACTGAGTATCCAAGCTCACCCTCCCTATGTATATATGTAGGTAACAAGCAAGAAGTCGGTTACGCCGAGATGTGTGTTTTGTATGCATGTTGTGTCGGCAGTGAGGATGTCGGCAACCCTGAAGATTATGCTTTTAGTTGTATTTGATTTATTTTGTTTATGTCGGCTTGTGAAGCCCTTTTGTTAAGATGTAACATGTATTTTTGTACTTCATCTTATTTGTATTCAAGTTTTAAAGCTATGTAAAAATGTATGCCATTTCTTTTGACTTATGCACAGCTCTTATGGACCACTTGTATTTTAGATTATTGCTTCCGCACTTGTGAGTCCCATATATTTATACTCTGATTGTGTGTGAATTTTGAAAGTTGGCCTTCGACAATCTCGGATTACTGGCCATCACGGCACCAAACTACTAGGGGTGGTTTGGGGTCGTGACAAAGACACTGTTGAAGTTCATTTTGATGGTCCTCATCATTTATTATGTGCAACGTGGCCTTAATGTAGTTGCATGCTTCATGACTATTTAAATTTAAATCTTAACCTCTGATGTTGGCGTTTTTTAAGGTCATCATGTGCCATTGTTTGCTTCATAACTATTTAAGGCTTTGATTAAGACTTGCATGCTTCAGACTGCAACAGTCTGATATCAAGAATATCAGATATACAGAATTTTAAGTTTCACAGGATCAAATCACCTAAAACCTATCCTAGTTCAATTTTGATTATTTTCAAAGTGCACTTTTACAGAAAGAGCTTTGTCATTCCAGAGTTTAAGTCTTTTGTTGAGGGAAAATTGTCTCATTTTGGCGGTTAACTGCCTTGCTTGAGTTAAAACATTTTTCTTGTGGCTTGGCCTGGCTTGTTTGCATGAGGAAAACATTGTTTCTTATAGTCGTGTTTGTTTTCTCAGATATAAGGGGGTGGAACTAGACTAAATAGCCCTAGGCCTCATCGCCAAAAATATTCAAAGAAATGCCCTCTGAACCCAATTGAATAATTTTAACTTTTAAGCTATCCCATCCCTTATCCTATGCTGAACCTAACACTTTATTTTTGGTGGGGGCTAGGGAGTTTGATAAATGGACAATGTGTCTTGAAATACCTTATTGACATTAGATATGGCCATTCAACTTATTGAAGTTAACAATAGATAGTGGAAACTTATAACTATGGATTTGTAGTATACCTTCAGCTATGTTCTTCATCATACTGATACATTCAGTATAGTATCTGTGATGTTAAGATTCATGTTGAAATTTCCCTAAATTATGCTCTTTGCAGGTATGTCCTGAAAGTTACAATTAGTCGTGGTTATGTTGACAGCATTGTGGAATACCAAGATTTTGTGGTAATCTGTCTATGAGTATGAGTGTGTGTGTATGTGTTAATTGACCATTTTTTTGAACTTTTAAAGAAGCAAAGAGGTTGTACTCGGCTATATCTGAAGAAGAAATATTATGTAGAACTAAGAAGCACGGACACGGACATAGACGCAGATACATGACACGACACAGACACGGATACGTTGACACCTAAGAAGTACAAACACGGATACGGACACAGACACGACATGGACATGCCAATTTTCAAAAAATACAAGATAAGACATGTGGGGGACATGTATGAAATATGTCATTTTGAGTACGTGATGATATCTTCGCATATCGATATTAGAGTTTACAATCTTATTTATTTTTTTATTTTTTGAAAAAAATATCAAATGTTTTACATTTTCTGTAAGCTTGAAAATAATTATGTTGTAAATGATGATTTTTTTTCCTTTTGTGTTTCTTTTTGCAGATGCAAACCTTTTGAATACGTGATATCTTTGCATATCGATATGGGAGCTTACTATTGATATCAAAACAAGCTACACTATATCTATGTGGGGATATATTTTCTGAGTACCAACACGTGGCAAGGTGACGCCGACGTGTCAGCCGAGGTGCCACGTGTCTTGGTCGTGACACCGAGGTGATCTCGGTAAAGCCGAGGTTATCTCCGAAGATATCAGAATCCAAGATAAGTGGATAAGGGACAAGAGTCCTAGAATGAAGAGGGAACTCAACTTGGATATGGACAAGAGTCCTAGATGGAGAGAAGACTTCAGTTTGGGTAAAGATAAGACTCTTAGAGAGTTTATCCTAATCCCACTGGGAGTCCCAGATTAGCAGTAATCCTAAGTCCATTAGGGCCAGGCTCCTATTGGGACTAGGATTGTATTGGCTATAAAAGAGAGGCACCCCCATGGGTCTAAGGTATGCTTTTGATTCTGTAAATATTGTGGTTAGTACTTAATTATCTTTGAGAGATATACTGACTTGATCATCGGAGTGCCCCCGGGTGGAAGAACCACCGCCGGAGCCTTTTTCTTTCTGTTTCAGGTTGCTGAAGCCATCTATTCTGCCTGTGCTCACCAGTTGGTTACTAAGCAGGCAGTGTG